TTTCAGTGCTGCAATTATTTATTATGTTACTGTCCACAGTAATTGTTGTCTAGAGACTTTGCCAAATTTATCATGGTTTTGTCCTCTGTGCTCCTCCTTTACCACTTGCCATTGTCTGGATTAAAGGAGCAGAAGCCCTTAAGGTACAATTACCTCTGAGCCAACCAGCCAGTGTGATGGAGGAATAACGTGACCTACACGTTTTGTCCCTCAAAAACACATACTCCACAGACTGAGCTCATGAATTCCACTTTCCTTGGCTCAAGGCCTGGAAACTTGAGTCTTTACCAAGTCCCAGGCCTCCCACTGATGGCAAAATTAACCTCAATCTGCAGGTCAGAGCAGTCCGATTTCCTTGTATTTTGCAAAATATTGCTTTAAGGATATAAGGTTAATGAAGTTGTCTGGGTAAAGGCATCTGCGACCATTTGGTAGGTATTTTAGTTCTGAAAGGTTGTTTGGTTTTTGGTTTTTGTTTTTTTAAACAACTCTAATGGGGTTTATGCAATCTAACACCTGTCCTTCTTCCCCCTCCCATTGCAACCTCCTCCCTAGCCATAGATAACCTCTAATTTAATATTTAACAGTAGTTTAGAATTAACAAATTTAAATGTTCCTCATGACAAAGGAAATGGTTGTAAGATTAATAATGCAGTGGTCTTAAGGATTTGTAAAGCCCTCAGCTTCAATTTCCCTCTACATTAAATGCTAAAATTGCAGTTTAACATAACAATCAATGGAATCAATAGTACCTTTGAATTTATATAGATCACTAGCTGTCTAACCTGTCTTTTGGGACCAAATCTTCAAGAGATTAGAGAAGACCACATTCACACCATCGTTCCCTTCATGGTATCCACGGACCTTCCTGTTTCTTTGTGCTACATCTTGTCCCTCTCCACCATTGTTCATGTGCTTTTAGCACCCACTTCCAAATACTTCTTAGTACTTCCTACGAAACTATCTAGCCAACCGTCAGCAATCAAGAGCACTTTTACAGTTTACCTATGCTAAATGAATACCAGTTAGTTAATATTTAGTAAAGAAGCTAGCTAGTACTGAAGAGAAAAAAAACTGCTCTACATCCTTTAAACTTCTGTAAACTAAAAGAGAACAAACCTGACATAATCACTTTCATAACAGAAAAAAGATGTATCCTTGATTCAAACTTTTTAAGAGGTAAACAGTGCAAACCTCTGGTTCTGCACTGTCATTTCAATTTCTCTTTACTAATTGCTTCAGATACACAGTTCACATTGTGCAGTCAGGCAGAAAAAAACCTATGCAAAAGTTACACAGAGATTGTCTAACTCGTTTGTATCCTGACCCAAAAAGGGCAGAATGTACACTGTACTTTTGAGAATGAGTTTAAAAGGAAAATGACTGGTTAATGTTTGCCCAATTTTAGAACAGCTACAATGAAAAAACCACAGATTTCCTTCCATTTAAAAAAAGTCATTTTCCACAGAAAAACTTCATTGTTTATATAAACCAACTTACCCCTACCTCCAAACTAGCAACACACATTTTTATATGCTTGCCTGACCATGAGACAGGTAAACTATACTGAGAAAAATCTACACTGATTTGCATAGGTTATCTAACAATATAGGACAATGTTAAAATATGGTCAATTGAAAATGCCAACTGCAACTTTAATTTCAAGAAAACCAATGTAACTCAAAAATACTTGCACAGAGCAAGGAGGTCACTTCAGCGAGTTAATACCCACACCTTCCAAACTCTGTAAGCTTTTATTAATGCCAAACTTATTAATCCACATTGTTCTGAAGAAGAATTCGCAAGAAGCAAATGAAGACTGAGACCATCTGTCCTCATTTCGACTGGGATAGAGTTAATTTTCTTTCTGGTAGCTGGTATAGTGTTGTCTTGGGTTCACTATGAGAAGAATGTTGATAACACACTGACGCTTTCAGTTGTTGCTGAGCAGCGTTCATATCCAGTCAAGGATTTTTCAGCTTCTGATGCCCAGCCAGCAAGAAGGCTGGAGGGGCACAAGTAAGTTAGGAGGGGACACAGCCAGGACAGCTGACCCAAACTGGCCAAAGGCGTATTCCATACCATGTGATGTTATGCCCAGTATATGAACTGGAGGGAGTTGGCCCGGGGCGGGGGGGGGGGGGGGGGGCGCGGCCCGGGGAC